TGCGACCAGCGAGCTCGCAAAGCGACCTCTGCCTCTACTGCCGCGCGGCATGGCGGCATGACTGAGGACCAGCGACCGCGTGCGCGACATTATCGAGCGCCTGGCTGTCATGGTCAGCAACGACCCAGGCGAGCGCGAGCGCGCGATGTCCAATACGCGCACCCACGACGCGATCTTCTACCACTGCGACGAGATGCTTGACTTGGCCGACACAGCAGAGGCCGACAGGGGCGCAACAGCCGCTGATTTAAGCATCGAGTGCGACCACGTCTTGGCGTACGTGGAAGGGGCTCACAAGAGCTACTGCATGTCTTGCGAGCTGCGGGGCGCGCGCCCTATTCTACGCGAATCACCGACAAAAGGGGCTTGGGAAGCTACGCCAACCACTGCCTGACTAACGTGATGACCTACCCGAAGCGGCGCTGCCACAACGACATGCCTGAGTAAGCAGTGGTGATGCGACATGACAGACATTTTCGCGGACAGCAAAATATCTATACGGCGCAACCTCACATGTGTGCCGACGCCGTTCCTCGTCGCCGACCTACAGAAGGAAATCGCAATCGAAGCAGTGGTAACTACGGTCGTGCTTATCGACAACTAGACCCCCTCGCCCAAATGCGGCCCGCATAGCCAGCAGAATCTACAGCCGACGCCGGACCTCCCAACCTGCATGCGACCTGCTGCCACCCACCGAGCCGCGCATCGGGACTGCGCCACCAACTTGGGGGCACTTGGACCAAAGTTCGTCGACTTCAGGGCCATGCGCAGTTGAGCAATGCATTGGCGCCACCTTGCGCAGCCCAAGTGGGCCGCGACCTCCACGGGCAGAACCGCGGGGAGCAGCGCCGCCGGCCGGCGAGCACCGCGCCAGATGCAGCAGCGCGCTACAGGCGACATCGGCAAGGCTGCAACGATCCGCAACGTGATCGCGGACCACAACGCCGAGGGGGGGGCGTCTCACACACCGGCGAACGCAAATCGGCAACGACGGCGCCCTCAGGCGGGCAGTTCAGCGTCATCCACCGCGGCGACCAGCAGGAGACGGATATGGAGGCTTGTCCACATTACGGCCCCGACCCGTGGATGCCATGGCCGAACTCTGCAGGCGCCGTCAAAGCTGGCCGGCTGGACCTGCGCGACCTACTCACGGCGAGTCAGGGGGTTCTCCTCTGACCGCCCACAGCGCGAGGCAATCCTCGCGATCGGACCAGTAATACAATATTTGCCTTCGTGCAGACAGGGCCATGTAATACAATATTTGCCATGTAATACAATATTTGCAATGGCGGCCGATCCGCGCGTTACTTCCCCATGTAATACAATATTTGCCTTCGTGCAGACAGGGCCGCCAACTCCCATCTCTAGGCTACCCTTCTATCCGATGCGCGCACAAACACCGCGAAGACGGAAGCAGCGCAGCTGGTGGCACGGGAGCCGATTTTCTTTCTGGCGCATCGACAGCGTGAACGTCGGTGGCAACTGCGATCAGCGCGGGCCCCCACGGGGATTTTTTCCAGTCGAGCTCAGATCCTTGCCGCGAGAATCGCGTGGGCCTCCAAAGGGCATTCTCACCCGCCGCGCGTGGGGGCTCCACCAACCTCTACTCTCTACTGGTTCACCTTCCTGTAGCCCTGGCCCCCCCCCCACCTCCACACCGCACCCATCTAACCTCCGCCTTCGGACTAACCGCGGGCCGTCCTGGCAAGGGCCAGTGCGGCCGCTGCCGCCACTAGGGCAGCTGCCAACAGGGCGCCGACCCAAATCTTTGTGAACCTCTGCCGCCATGACTGCGCCTCCTCCTGCCGCAACGACGGCTCACGCCGCGACGCTGGCGCGTTCTCTCGCCACAACCGCATGCCAACCGTCCAGGAGATGGGCTTTAGATGTCATCGCCAGGGGGGGGGGCCAGGGTGCAGTGCGCACGCGGCGCGCCGCCGCCACGGTGGCAGAAACCACGCCCAGGCACGGTGGACCCCCCCCCAAGCGGCCACTTTTCCCGTGGTCTGGGTGGCTTGCCCCTGCTTCGGCAGAGGGGGGGCCGGCCATGGGGATGGTGAACTTTTCGGGGGGGGTCCCATGTGCGTGTCGTTTGCCGTTCGCCCTGGCGAGCGCAGCCTCCGCCCGTCTCTGCGAGAGTCGGGGGCCCCGCCGCCGCCTGGAGGGCGCAAGCCTGCCTCCCGCTCGGCGTAACACCCCCCGGGCGGCCCCAAGCTCAGTGCGCTGGGAGCCCTGCGCCTGTTGTTCAGGCGCGAGGGGTCCCGCCTTTGACCCTGGGGGCGTCTGTGGGGGGCCTCGATGAGCTGAGGGCGAGGCCCCTGCGCCCTCCGCGCCGGCGAGGGCGGAGAGGCTCCGCCGCCGTCGGGGCGCCGCCACCTCCACTGCCGGCAGCCTCTTCACTACCGCCATTCCAAGTCGTGGCTTGTCAGTCTGTGCTCCTCCTCCTCCTCCTCCTCCTCCTCCTCCTCCTCCTCCTCCTCCTCTTGCCTCAGAGCGTGAATTACCTACCCCGCTTGGTATCTCTTGGAAGCGAGGGTGGTCAAAAGCGAGGTAGGTTTGTTTTCCCCTCGTTACCATCGCGCCTGCCAGCCTCCGCGGCGCCCAGCTGCGGCTAGCTATAGCTGCCCCCGCAACTGGCGCGTCTGCCAACTCCCAGCCACTCCCTGCCTTCCACACTTGAAGAGGAGGGAGGAGGAGGAGGAGGAGGAGGAGGAGGGAGGAGGAGGAGGAGGAGGAGGAGGAGGAGGAGGAGGAGGAGGAGGAGGAGGAGGAGGAGGAGGAGGAGGAGGGGGAGGAGCAGGGTGTTTGCGGGGGGGGCCCCACGGCGCCCCCGGGGCACTGGCCCCGGGTGGCCAGGGGACGCGAAGGGAGGAGGAACGACGACGGACCCTGCGGGCCCCCCACGGGCCACGTTTCAGAGCCCCGAATTATCAGGGGCAACTCGGGTCAGGGCTAACTCGGGTTCGTTTTTCGGGAGTCCGAACCCGAGTTATCCCGGACCCGAGTTACCCCGGATAATTCGGGCGTCCAGAGCCCCAAAATCATCAGGGGTAATTCGGGTCAGGGCTAACTCGGGTTCCTTTTTCGGGAACCCAAACCCGAGTTACCCCGGACCCGAGTTACCCCGGATAACTCGGGCGTCCAAACGTTGCCACACTCTGCCACGCCGCCTGCCACATCGTCCCCCTTTGTTTCCTCCTCCTTCTCTGGGGGCTCTCCTTCGCCTCTCCCCTCTCTTCCAGGGGGACGAAACGTGGCCTAAACGTACAAACTCGGAGGTCCGCGCGGATTTCTCGGATCGGCGCTGGACCCCCCTCCCTGGCGCGCGGAGCGTGCCAGGGGCGGCGCCGGAGGCTCCGCGGGGCGGCCCCAGCGCCGATCCGAGAAATCCGCGCGGACCTCCGAGTTTGTATGTTTATGTCACCTTCCGTTCCCCTATTTTCCTCCGTGAGTTGTTGGACGGCGGTCTCTAATTTTGTCGTTCTTGTTGTGCTCCCTTCAGGGGAGGGCCCGACTGGGCCCCCCTGGGGGAACTGGCAGCGTTCGACCAACCCCGTTGCCATCAGGGACACAATGACACAGGAGGAGGAGGAGGAGGAGGAGGAGGAGGAGGAGGAGGAGGAGGAGGAAGACGAGCGCTTTCGGGGGCCTCTTGGGGGTAGTTTGAGGGCATCTTGAAAGGGACTTTGGGGGCCGCTTGGGAGCCTCGTGGGGGCCTATTGGGGCTTTCTGGGGGTCTCTTGGGGGCCTCTTGGGGGTCTCTTGGGGCCTCTTGGGGGGCTTCTTAGGGGCCTCAGGGGGCCTCCTGGGAGCTTCTCAGGCCGAGGGCTCGAAATGACCGTTCGGGGCCCCCGTCTGGGCTGCCTCTTGGAGCCGTCTTGGGGGCCTCTTCGGCTGTCTTGGAGGCCTCTTGGGCGGTCTTGGGGCCCTCTTGGCGCGTTTTGGTGTCTTCTTGGAGGCCTCTTGGGCCATCTTGGAGCGGTCTTGGGGGCCTCTTGGCCTGTCTCGGAGCGTCGGGAAGCTGACGCGGCGAGAATGCCGACATCTGTCAAACACCTACGGAAAATCTATGATTTTTGCCTCTTGGGGCCCTCTCGGAAGTCCTCTTGGAGGCCTCTTGGGGCGTTCTGGAACTTGATTGTAAGCCTTCTGAAGGCTACTTTGGCGACTTGGACCGACACTTCGGCGATTTTCGGGCCTCGAGGACCGTCTCGGGGGCATCTTGGGGCACTTTTGCCGCGTCTTGGAGCTTTTCTGGGCCCCCCAACCGCCCAGGGGGAGTCGTATTTGGGTGGCGACCTCCCTGGGACCGCCCCCCCAAGGGATCGAAGGGAAGGGGCTTCCCTTCGACTCAACTACAACGTTGCTCAATTTCGCTGTGGCTGGCGCGCTCGAGGAGGAGGGCCTGGTGAAAGTGGGGGGAGCGGCGACGGTCCTAGGGAAATGGGAGAGAGCGGCGAAGGCGACGACGACGACGACAACGACCACGACGACGACGACGAGTCAAATGGAACAGCCTCTTCCACACGCCGACAGATTCGGTGGATTCCCGTATCTTTGATAGTGGGTGTGAGTCCGTTGTGGATACCAGTGCCGTCGTCGATTTGCACAAACTGTTTATTGGGTAAACTATACAATGGACGAATGCGGGTCGTGGTTCTATATATGCTCGGTCAGTGTCGACGCCAGTGCCGGACAATATTCCATCCATTCTTATGGCGGCAGTCGGGCATGTCAGTGTGAAGCAGCATGGACGGTAGAAGTGGCGTCAACCATGGCGGGCCCAGGATTACCAACCTGTTGTTTCCCCTGGCAACGATTTGCCGTCACAGGTCTGACCCAGGTGTGCGTTGCAAGTGACTAGAGCGAAGGAGGGGGGAGAAGGAGGAGTAGAGGCAGGAGGGAGGGGGGGGAAGCGGGCGGAGGCGGGGGGAAGGGAGATCAGAGGAGGAGCCGGAGGAATAGAGCAGGAGGGGGAGGAGCAGGGCTTCTGGTGTGAGGCACGCATCGTCACGCGCTTCCAGGACGTCAGCGCGACCCCGCTGCACGCGAGCGCGAGGACGATGATGCGACCGCCTCAGCTCTTCGCTGTTAGAGGAGGCATCTCTCCTCCCTCTCTTGCCCTCCTCTGTCCCCCTCGCTCCGACCCGTCGTCCCTCCACCCCCCCCGTCCCCTGGCATCGCTCGGACGTGTGCATTTTTCTTTCGGCGAGGACCATCGAGGAGCATCCTTGATCATTTCGGAAAAAAAGCCACGCACGAAACCGAAAAAAACACAGGAAATGGACGTCCGAGCGATGGCCAGGTCCTCCTCTCCCATCGCCGCGGAGGCCCCACCAACCTGCTGGTGGCTGCTCGGTGGTCCCCCGCCTGTCCTCCTCCGTTCGGGGGTGGACAGACCTCCTACCCTGACACGTCTATTAGCGAATTGGCCGTTTTCTGTTCGCAAAAAAGCGCGTCGCGGCCGTCACTTTTGCGGGTCCAGGTCCGTCGGTTTCGGTCCCAGGCCGTTTTCATTAGGGGGAGGTTTACTAAAGGGAGGTTTGTCCACCGCCGAATCTTGCAGGATTCTGCAAGGCCTGACTGACCTGGGTCTGGATTGACCCCAGGTTAAAAGATCCCCGGAAGAAGGTCCCAAAACAGGCCAAGAGGCCTCCAAGACGGCCCAATAGGTCTTCCGTAGCCATTTCGGCTCAAGCTGCAGCGGCAGCAGCGCCATCGGGGCTGTCACAATTAAGGACATCCTCTGCACAACATATCCAGTTTCCGAACTTTTCTTCGCGACAATGACGCACGGCTTGTATGCGTGCCTTATTGTCTTACTGTTGCCGAGCGTAATTACCTGCGTCCGCTTTTCAAAATCGATTGGGGTCGAGTCTCAGAATGCGCTTGCCTCGTCAAGTGTGCCAGTGGCGCTGGCGACGGAGACGTCGTGCGGCGGCTACGGGTGGGTCATTCCGAGTGGGAACCATAATCCGAATTGGGGGTGCCCATCTGGAGTAGAGATCTGCGGCCATTTCGGTTCGTACACCGTCTTTTCGGTATCTCAGACGCTCCATGGGTCCGGCTCTGCGACAATTGATTTCCAAAACACTTGGGGCACCGACGGCTTCAGAGGGGTTGTGAGGTTGTATTTGAATAACAATCTCCAAAGGACTTTGACGAAATATGAAAGGGCTTCGGTGACTCTGAACTTCGTGAGTGGCGATGTTCTTAAGGTCGATGAGTGGGATACCGTCCTAGCAGTGCACAGCGTCACGTTCAGTTGCCCGACGCCGTCCCCCACGCCGAGTCCGACGCCGAGTCCCACGGAGGCGCCCATCAACAGCGGCCCAATGGTCAAGGGCATCGGCGACCCGCATCTCGCCAACACGCTCGGCCAGAAGTTTGACCTGCTTCAGGCTGGGTACCACACTTTGGTTCAAATCCCCAGGTGGGAGCGGCGTCGGATTAATTTCCTCGTGGAGGCGAGGGCGAGTCGCGCTGGGAGTGGGTGCGCTGATCTATATTTTACGGAGGTCAACATCAGCGGCACGTGGGCTCGTCGTCACAGGGCAACGGGCTTGCGTTGGGACGCCGAGGCTACGAGGCTGGCCAAACCAACATGGATGACCTTCCACAATGTGGTCAAGGTCAAAATTGTACATGGCCGCACAGCCCAGAACACGAAATACCTCAACATCTTCATAAAGGGGCTGCACGAGACAAGGGTCCCAGTGGGTGGCCTCCTCGGGGAGGACGACCACACTGCGGCCACCACCCCAGACAAGGGTTGCAAAGACATCATGACGCTGTGAGTCTTCTCCCGCCCGGGTCCCAAAGTGCAGAGTGTTTGCGGGACGAGGCTCCAGGAAGCTGGCGGGGTCGGCCGTGGTGGAGGGTCGGGGAGGATCCATCTCTCGTTCGAGTGCCGTGTGGGATACATAATGCGGGGGCAGTTAATTGCATGGCGCTGCAGCCCAGGGTAGCAGCGCCTTTCACGCAGCAGTATCCAGCGAGCTGCAGCCCAAGGTAGCAGCTCATGTACAGCGCTGGACTGTGGTCTTGTACTACAAGAACTGAGATACACAGTTGCTTTTTTGTTCGTTTTGATCCCTAGCCCTATCTTCCGAGGCGGCCTTCAATCGGTCGTGTTTACCCTCCATCCTACCGCATTTTCATTCTCAGCGCGCGTTTGGTGCAGCTCGCGGTTGGCGCGCATTTGGCGCGTCGGCTTCTTCGCCGTCGGGTAACTGACTTGTTCCCTGACTGCCAGAAAGTGCGGCAAGAAAACGGCCCAATAGGTCTTCAAGAGGCCTCCCAGGAGTGCCCGGAGAGGCCAACACCATTGACCATCCGTAGGTTTTTGAAGAAGTTGGAGGTTCTCGCATGTTCAGGTTGGGGTGGCCTTCGCTGTGATGTTCCTGCGGGCCCGATCGGCCGCCCCCGTCCGCGAGAGCCCAGCAGGCGAGAGCGGAGGGCCCCGTGCGGCGCCCGCGCGTGGCACCGCCCGGGCCACGAGAGGTGTGCGCGGGCTGCTCTTGCCGCGGTGGGAGCTCGGCAACAGAGCAGCCTCCTCCCCGATCCCCCATCCGCCCCTCCATGCCCCTCCCCCTGACCCCTCCATTCCCCCCTTCCCCGCCTGCCTTCCCCCTCCCTGCCTCCACTCAGCCATACCCCCCGCCCCGTCCGCCTGGCCATTCCAAGGGCCTCGTGCTAAGTAGCAGAGGGCTGAGGCGCACTGACCTCCATGGGTGTTCTAATTACTAATACTATGTGTGCGTCGCCCCCCCCAGGGGCGACGCGCGCGCCGAGAAATCTGACAGTACATGCGTCGTGGCGGGCGTTTTCCGGCGACATCGTTCGGAAAACGATCTACTACAAGATGGACCTATCATGGGAGGAGGAGAAGGAGGAGGAGGAGGAGGAGGAGGGAGGAGGGAGGAGGAGGAGGGAGGAGGAGGAGAAGGGAGGGGGAGGAGGGAGGAGGAGGAGGAGGAGGAGGAGGAGGAGGAGGAGGAGGAGGAGGAGGAGGCGCTGCGGCCGTTATTTTCCAGGTTTTCGCCCGCCAGGTTTGGGCCTCATGTCGTTTTTCACTAAGCCACGTTTTACGAAAGGGAGGTCTGTCCATCCCCGATCTTGGGTCACCCAGAGTGTTGGCCCTGAGGCCCGAAACCGGGCCCCGTGGGAAGACACTGCCACGCCCTGATCTCAGGGGCGCCGCCCGGGAGCGCGCGGCGGCGGCGGGCCGCGCCCGCTCGCCCCCCCGCCGCCGTGGCCGCTGCCTCCGAGCGGCGCCTTCCTCCACCTCCTCCTCCTCCTCCTCCTCCTCCTCCTCCTCCTCTTTCCTCCTCCTCCTCCCTCCTCCCTCCTCCTCTCCTCCTCCCTCCTCCTCCTCCCTCCTCCTCCTCCGCCTCCTCCTCCTCCTCCTCCTCCTCCTCCTCCTCCTCTCCTCCTCCTCCTCCTCCTCCTGCCTCCTCCTCCTCCTCCTCCTCCCTCCTCCTCCTCCTCCTCCTCCTCCTCCTCCTCCTCCTCCTCTCCTCCTCCTCCTCCCCTCCTCCTCCTCCTCCTCCTCCTCCTCTCCTCCTCCCCTCCTCCTCCCTCCTCCTCCTCCTCCCGCCTCCTCCCTCCTCCCCTCCTCCCTCCTCCCTCCTCCCGGCACCAAGAAAAGAACACCTGGCGGACGTGTACGACTTCCAGCGCGGTGCGCCCAAGGAGCGGCCCCCCGGCGGGGGTGCGGTGCGCCCGCGCCGCCGCGAGATCGGAGGGCGGAAGCGGCGGGGGAGGGGGGGGGGCGTCAGAGGACCGACGCCGCTGTTCTTCTCCGTTCCCGCCTTGCAATCCTCTTTCTCCTCCTTCGTCTTCTCCTCCTCCTCCTCCTTCCTCCTCCTCCTCCTCCTCCTCCCCCTCCTCCTCCTCCTCGTCCTCTCCTCCCCCCTCCTCTCCTCCTCCTCCTCCCTCCTCCTCCTCCCCCTCCTCCTCCTCCCATGGTGGGCCTTCCGTGAGGTCCTCGTGGCCACCGCCGGAGCCGCCTCGAAGTCCCGGTCAGGACGCGCTCCGGGAGAGGTCCCAGGGAGTATACGGCATCGCCACCTGTTGGTTTCCCGAGGGAGGGGGAGGTCAGGGGGGGCTACGAGGATCAGCTGCTCGAGGGCTCCCTGGAATGGCCTCGCGGAGCGCTCTGGAGCGCGCCGGAGCGGCCGGGGCGCCAGTCCGTGCTCCAGACCTGTGGGCTCTCGGAGGTGTCCGAGTGGTCCTCGTCCGGATTGTGTCCTCTGTCTGCCTTCGTCCGAGGATCGGGCCAGACGAAAGGGGGGATTGGGAAAGGGGCGGTTTCGGGGGTGGACAGAACCCCTAACAGTGACACGTCGATTAGTGAATTGTCCGTTTCGGGTCCTCGAGAGGGCGCCGTGGCCGTTATTTTTCAGGCTTGCGCCCACCAGGGTTGGGCACGAGGTCGTGTTCACTCCACGTTTTACTCAAGGTGGGTCTGTCCATCCCCGAGTTACGAAATCTGCTTCATGCAGCTGGTTTCGGCCCAACCGAGGGGCCCATTTCTCGATGCACGGCCGCCTCCGGCGCCGGGAGGCGCCGGGAGAATCAGCTACGTGGGCTGATTCGCAGACCCCCCCTCTGCTATCCCCCCCTTCGCCCGGCCCGAGAGGAGGGGGGGGGGGCTGTCGGAGAACAGCAGCTGAATAAACGCACGCTTTCGGGATTCCGCGCGAACTTCCTGGATCTGCGTTGAGGCCCCTCTGGCGGCTCCGTGGGCGCCGCCCCTGGCGCGCTCCGCGCGCCAAGGGGGGGGGGGGGGTCTGGCCCAAGCGCCGAGCCGAGAAGTCCGCGGGGTCCTCCGAACATTCACTGCTACGAGGCCGATGATTCAGGAGGGGAACAAACACACAGACACTATTAATCGGCGATTCCCAGAAACTATGGGAACATATGGGAAGTGGGCGGGAAGACAAAAACCAAGAACATATGTAAAAATATGGGGGATATTTTTATTTGTGTGTATTAATGTGTGTGTCCCAGTTCCCCTTCAATGATCCTAAGGCGGGTTGGGCTGGTTGCGCGAAAGACTTACCTTTTGCAATGAGTGGCCTTGGCTTGGGTCACCCGCGGCCACCTGAAGCCCTGCTGCGGGCAGGATCTGTTTTCGTATCCGGTGCGTCTTGGGCTGCCTTGGAGGGGGCGCTACAAGGCCGAGGCGCACTGGATGTAGGGGGGCCAATTTATCCACATTCAGTGTTCCTTGGAAGCAAGTTGTTCCTCACTCATATCGTCACGCGTATGCTTCTCCGATGGGTCATCTCTTCTTGCAAGTTTTGTACCTCAATGTGATAATTGGTGGTCTTCCGCATTGGCTCTTCCCTTAGCATTGAGCGTGGTGGGATATCCTGTCACGTTTGGTGGCATTTGAAAGACACACGGATCATATATTGCCCCCTGGGGAAAAATACCCACATTCAGTGCGCCTCGGGTTTCTGCGGAAGGGATCCCGAATTTCCATACTGCAGTGGATATGGACAGAAGTATTGCCCGCACTTGCACCGAAGGTCACTCTTGCCAAATTTTCTCGCGGGGCCGGGGCGAGGATACATCCGTTCCAGAACGCTCCAGGACGCTCTCAGAGCTCCCAGACGCTCTGAGGAGGCCGCGGCGCCCAAGACATCCTGCAGAGCCGCCGGATCTCAGAGATGCTCGATGTATCCCCCCTCGAGTGGATCTTCGTCCTGGCTTTAAGTCGGGCCTGTCCCTCTACAGGAGGAATGTTCAAACACAGGCAAACAAATGGTTTTGGGACGATGTGTTTCGTACTTTTGTGCACTCAGTTGCATCTGCTTCGTATCTGTTTCATCCGTCGTCCACAATCCCCCCTGTAGGAGGACATGCCCGACCTGAATGTATCTCCGTCTGGCTTCGTCTTACGGTCTTGCGCAATTCGGTACGACCCCTTTCTGCTTGCAGCCGGACGGGCGCGCTTCGTGGCCCAGGCCGGAGAGCGTCGCCCTTCCGCAGCGGGGGGCGCGCAGGAGCGCGGAGGCTGCCCGCTCTTCGCTCGGCGCGGCGCGCGGAGTCTGGCGGCCAGGTCAGGGGCAGGAGTGCTCTTGCCTCAGGTCGGGGGAGAAAAAGATACGGATACGTGTTGTCCCCCGTCGTTTTCGGCCTTTCCTGGTCCTCCTGGGGAATCCTCGTTGTCACCGCTGGATTCGCCTCGAAATTCTGGTCAGAACGCACCCGAAGAGAGGTCCGGGGACAACACGTATCCGTATCCTTCCGCCCCCCAATCAGGGGTCTGCACGATCGAAGTGGGCACGGAAAGAATGGGTACAATTCAAGCAGTGGCGAAGCGTCCCGGCTCGCCTATAGCCCCACCAAATCATGTTCTAAGAACGTTTTGTGGTTCCCACGAACTGTTTTTAGAACATTTCTGGCTGGGACTGTCTTGTTTGAACACATCGGGTTCATGTTCTAAGAATATTGTTTCTGTTCTCAGAACGCTGTTGGGTTCTAAGAACATTTCGTGGTATGACTAATGGAATGCCGGGACGGTCGGTCCCTGCTCAAACAATGCCCAACAGCGGATTTGGTTCATTTTGAACAGGGCCCGCTGTCCACGCCGCCGCGGCCTGTCAGCAGCGGCCGCTGTTGGTTGGGGACAGCATGTGCTATTGGGCAATGTATCCATCTGTTCCGTACCCATTTCGGGCGTCCAAAAGGGGGGAACCTCGAGGTCCGACGTTCCGAGAAGGAAAGCTTGCGGCGGATTCTCTGCCGCTTTCGGCCTCTGGGAGCCCCCGCCGGGCCTCGGGAGCGCCAGAAAACAACTCAGGACAAGAAGCCCACCCTGGGGAAGTGGTCCGGGCCTCCGGGGCCCACGCAGCGACGAAAATTGGAGCGGCCGCATGTCCGGGCGACCGCACTAGGAACAGGAGCGTTTCTCCTGATCCTTGCTTGGCCCCTTTTCTGCACGCTGTGCGTGTCTCCCCACCAGCCCATCCAGAAACGATTCGTGTGCAAGTTGTCGTGAGAAGGGTAGCGGAACAGATCAGCAGTGGAATCAAGAGGGACCAGTCAAACCGAAGTTACGGTCAGCCCGAGCAGCCTCAATAGTGGCCATGAGGCTATCTTGGGGAGCCCTTGGGACATTTGCGTTCTTTGGTCATTCTAAACCATATTGTGATGATAGCGTTATTCATTGTTTCTATCTTCACGTCACTCCCCAAACAGAGTTTGTATTGAAGGGTTCCCAGCGGATACTGAGAGAGTACGTCGAGATTTCCCGCCGATATCGGCTCCACGGTTGCTGGCACGGTAAGGTCTCCCGTTGCTCCAGGTCTTCTCGGATGAAGAGTAGCTTGGGGTTCAGGAATTGAGGGCATAGCCATTTTGCTACAAGAAATGATGTTAGCACGTTAGCACCAAGTCTACACATAGAGAGGGATAGAGAGAGAGAGAGAGATAGTGATACAACGAGAGAGAGAGAGAGGGGGATGGAGAGAGCGATAGAGAGAGAGAGAGAGCGACAGAGAGAACGATACTGATAATAACGACAATGAGAGAGAGAGGGAGAAGGACAGCGGGAAGGCGTGGAGTACCTGCGGATGTTTCATAACATCTTTCGACATGGGGTTTATTTGGTGTAAGTATAGATTCGCGCGATCTTCGTACGAGTTGTGTCCATCGTTTGCTCATGCGATTATTATGTTGTGTGCGCTTTCTTGATGTGTTTACGAACCGTTTCCTCTGTGCTTTTGTTATGTGGTGATGCCTGTCAATCGTGCTCTTCGCGGTCTTATGTGTCTTCATGTGGTTCGTGGTATTAGGGCCACGGCGAGTGCGGGAAGGAGAAGAGGTAGGAGGAGGGAGTCTCAGGAGGAGGAGGGTGGCACATGTGGTATATGGACATATGTGTATATAGCTGGATGTATATATATATATGAGAGAGAGAGAGATGCGGGGTGCAGGATCAGAACCAGGAGTGGGACAGAGGAGGAGGCGAGGCGGCCAGGAACGGCATGGGGGACGGGCGGGGGGTCGCGGCAGGAGGCGGAGCAGAGGGGGAACCTGGGGATGCGCGCGCGGGGGTGTCGGCGGCGGCGGATCGAACGAGGCGAGCGCCCGACATTTGGGCCTCGCGCCCTGTGCTGACCTTCCTCAAGGGCTCCCACGAGGGCGCGAAGTTATTCGCGCTTCGCGCTTCGCGGTCCCCGTTCCTTCTCCCCCCTCCTCCTCGTCCTCCTTTTCTCCCTTTGGGGGGGCGGCGCGAGGGCGCGAAGTTATTCGCGCTTCGCGCTTCGCGCAGCGCGAAGCGCGAAGTTGGGAGCCCTAGTTCCTCGCACCCGTCGAGCGTCACTCCATTGAAGAAAGAGGGGGCCAGTGCGGTTTTGCCGGACGGCGGCGAAGGCGTGGCGTCGGCCGGCAGTGCTCGTGGGTGGACAGAACCCCCAACAGTGACACGTCGATTAGTGACTTGTCCGTTCTCGGTTCTCGAGAGGGCGCCGCGGCCGTTATTTTCCAGGCTTGCGCCCGCCAGGTTTGGGCCTCAGGTCGTTTTCACTAAGCCACGTTTTACGAAAGGGGGGTCTGTCCATCCCCGAAGTGCGCGACCGACGAGCAGAGGCGGGATCGGCTGCGCGAGCGCGCGCGCGCGGGCTGCTCGCGCAGCGCCGCCCGCCGGCGCCGTCGCCCTCCGCGAGGCGTGCCGCGTG